AAAGGGCAGATTCAGGTTTAGGCACTCAGTCACGTACTAAAGACAACCAGAAGGGTTTGACAAACTGTTAGCAAGCTGCAGTTTGGGATCTCTGCTGCCTGAGATGTCAGAGCTGTTTAGACTGTATGATATGGTGTGAATAAGGACACAGCTCAAGGAATGTGGTTTAAAGATCAAAGCCCAGACTTCAGTTCTCCTCACACTGTCTCTCTTCAGGCAAGTCACATTCTCCGCTGGTTTCCCAGTTTAACTCACTCTGAAATTGCGATCATGGTATTTATCTGCCTATGGGATGCTATATTTGGCAATGCCTGCAAAGCACCTTGGGAACCTGTGATGGAAGGGGCAACATATATGTGTGTGGATATTATGTATACACACACAGTCTTCTGATTTTTTTAGAAACCTTCACTTCGTGCTGTGCAGCCAGAACCAGAGGTTTACACCAATACTGCTCTGTCACCTAGTCTGCCTTACATTTGTGAATAGCCCAGGCGTCTGCCAAGAAGGCTCAGGCCAGCATATCTCCTGCTCAGCTCCAAGCTGAAAAGGTCCCTTGTTTTAGGAGAAGAAAACCCAGCATGTTTCTGTAGTGGCCTTTTAGGATGCAGACGCAAGAGATAAGAGACAGGGAAGTAATTCCAGGGATCTGGCCCCTGCCCAAGCAGAGGGCGTTCTCAACATTGATAAGATCAAGGCAAGAGCACAAGAGGTTTATGTTCTGATTTAAAATTCTTATTTTATTTTTACATAGCAGAAAACATCTCTCTGATCAGCCAGGTTATCAGATTGGCCTTGAAATCCTTACTCTCTCTCTGCGTGCCCCAACAAGAGCTCCTGAGATATCCAGGGGCTTGCCAGTTGTGTCTTCTACCCACCTACTGCTTCTGAGATAAGCCCAGCTCCACTAATCCCACTCAGAGCTTGCATGTAGGAGTTTGTGAATGAAGAACAAGAATAGGACTAGATGACAGACTTGTAACCCTCATCCCAAGGGGGCCTGGAGAACTGAAGACTTGTGATATTAAAGACAGACTCTGGAAGATGGGTCTTGGCATTCAGAGCTGGCTAAAGCTGACCAAGCCTGGTCCAGGGTGGAGGCAGCTACACCCTGTGAGCACGTGCGTGTACAGTCACCCTCCTTCCAGCGCTAAGGAAGTGTCTCCATGCAACACCTGACTGCACCATGCAAGCATGCTCTGGATGCTAAAATACCCATGCAACATGCATGTACCCCTCACCCACACCAGTGCCTTGCTTCCAGTTACAGACATTACACTGGCTGGCACTTTGGGGCTCCAGTGACCAGGTCTGCACACACACATTGCCCACCTCACTGTGCAACACCCATGTAGGTCCCACATCTACTCCTCACCTTACACTGACACATGCTATGCTACATGTATCTATTACATACAAATCCATACTTCATACATACACTGTCACTTCCAATTTATATCTGCTCACCTGCCCACAGGGGCTGATTCTCCTGTTCCATTAGCCTTTACCGGGGGAAGAACAGAAGAGAGATTTTTTAAAAATATTATTTTCCTTTCACTGTAGGTCCTGACCTCTCATAGCTGCTATTCCTGAAAACATTTCAGTCATGCCTGAGCTGCTGCACATTTGGGAAGTTTATTAATCTCTCTGCCTTAATCCATCTAGGTTCTTAGACTTGTCACATCACTGTTCCATCATCCCACTTAAGAAGAACTGCTGAGCAAGTAGAAAGGCCTAACACCACCTGAGCTGGCCCATAGAAAGCTGAAGTACAGGGAACAACAACAAGGTGACACCTCAGTGTTAAAACAGCACATGGAGAAGCAAAACTTAGATCACCTACTTGCAAAAGACTTCCAAGGACCATGAATATTTCCAAGGGCTAAAACTCTCTTTCAGTGCCAGAGGGCAAAGATACTGCCCCTCCATCTCCCCTCCATCTCACCTTCCCATGGGAGACTCTTCTAGCAGAAACAGAAGGAATAGCACAGCTGGGATGATGCACAAGAGTGCAACGCCTTGTGTCCTGACATGCCAGCAAAGCCCTGAGATGTCAAGGCAAACAAAATATCAGCCAGCAGAAGAATATTTTTAAAAGCACACATTATCTCACAACCACATGAAACACTGTCCTTAGCAAGAACAGGATGAAAATGCTTCATTGATGTTACTAGCAGGTCACTGTCATCATTGTCCTCACACAGGAAGGAATAAGCATAATCCTTTCTCCTTCAAGCTATCCAGCAGCAGGATAACTGAGGGGAGAAAGCAGAGATCTTTGCTTCAAACCCCTGGCATAAACCATTAGGTAGCCTGCCTGCTCCTCAGATCAGTTCACTCACTGCATCTCCATCCAGTTGTACGCTGTCTGGATGTCACTGCCAACCTCAGTTCATAAAGAGACTGCACGCTGCATGCTCTTTACCTATGCTGAAACAGGAGCACTTGTGCATCAGGGCTTCTCGGGGCTACAGCAACACAAGCAAACTGGTTCACATGGTGACGCTTCCTGTCCAGACACGCAGACAGTTGCCTAGTTCCTCCTGTAACAGCTCATCAACCCATTTTCTATGAAAGATCTGTCTTCATTTCTTCTACTCCCACCACAATGTTAAAGTCTCAACACTGAACCTGTGTCACCAGACCCTCAGCAACAGAGAACCAAGCCTCCTGCTATCATCTTTTGCAAAAGGATTCAGTAGGGCCTCAGGATAGCCCTCCCAAGTGAACTAAGGTCCCTAGTGTGCTCTGACTCCATTACTGAATGCTGGGCAACAGCCTGAGATCACAGAATGGTTGAGGTTGGCAGGTACCTCTAGAGATAGTCAAATTCAACCCCCCTCCTCAGAGCAGTGCCAGCAAGAGCACATTGCCTAAGACTGTGTCCTGGCATACTTTGACTGTCTCTATGGACAGAGACTCCACGATTCCTCTGGGCAACCTGAATTTCCTGCGTTTCAACTCGTGCCTATTACCTCTTGTCCTGCTGCTGGGCAACGCTGAGAAGGAGCCCTGTGCCAAGCATGTCTTACTGCCTCAATTGAGATTTCCCTTTATATGATGAGAGTACAGCATCGTCCTCCAGAGGGTATCGACCTCCCTCAGCTACTTCCAGAGCTGAGGCACCTCAGCAAAGTATTCTGCCAGGGACATGCTACCTCCATTCTAAAGCAGGGTACACAAAAGTGGGCACTTGCAATCACCTGAAAAATGAAAGCAGAAATGCTCCTTTACCTAACGGCTCTGCCACCACAACAGACCAAGAGGCTGTGAAGTATCATATGCTATTGTCATGGAATTCACACAAGCACCTCAGGCAGAGATGCACTGTCCCAGCTTGGCAAGGTTGGCCAGAGAAGCATGGATTCTGTGCCATCTGTTAGAACAGTGTGCTCTCAGTTTCTGCTGTTTATTTTAGTGCAAGCTGATATGGGTTCAGTAGGGAGCAAGGGAACAATTCTACCCCTCAGATTCTCCAGGGGCACAAGAGTAAGCCGCAATAATAAGCTCAAGGTGTCAGAGGAAACCACCCCACTGAGGCATTGCTGAAACCCCACAGGCTGGGGGGAGTGCCATCAAACAGTACCAGAAATAGCTGCAGTCCAGGGGCACCCAGAAAAAACAGCAAAAGCATCTGGGGGAGGCGTAAAAGAATGTGATAAACAAGTTGTGCTAAAACACTGCATCAGGATTAAACTGTCGGTAGGTCTGAAGGACAGGCACAGTCTGGGGAGAGCTCACAGGGCACAGGAGGAGACAGCTCTACTGAAAACAATCCAGGTGGGAGCACAAGAGATAACAGATCAGGATTAACTGTGCAGTCAGAAGTACTGGGTCATTGTGGGGCTGCTGGAAGACAGGACTGAAGTGCCTTGGCAGAAGGCATATGAGGAGTTTGAGAAATACTGTCCAGCTCTGCACAGGCTCTAGCCAGCCCTACCTGCTCCTCTTCCTTTCAAGTACCAAATTCAGCCACAAAGCAGTGATGGGCAAGGGCACCCAACAGCATGCCCATAAACAGTAGCACTTCTGAGTACACAAAGACATTGGACTCATTTGCTGCTGGGCAAGGTGCAAATCCTGAAGGATCCTGGTCTGCCATTCATCCCTCTTGCAAGGCTACAATTACTGCAGTGAAAGTAGCAGTTTTATCACAAAGGATACCTGCTTTCTTCACCCAGACCTGGTTTTCTCTGTGTATCACAAACATGTGGAGGATCACATGGGGCTCAGTGGACCAAGGCATTTGTTTCGGCTGCAATGTGCAAGGTCACACACACATCTCCCACCAAACCGTACAGCACTGACCAAAAGAAAGCCAAGTACCCACAAAGGAGACAGGGGTTGGCTGAAGACTCAGGGGATGTGGTATTAAAGACAGAGATTCAGAGGTGCAGGCAGCACAAACTACTAGCAGAAGAGTTGAGCAAACCTAGCCCTGCTAGGTGTGTGCATGCTCAGGAACGGGAGATGCTCAGACACTGCAGAGTCATCCCAGCTACAAAGCCATCCAAGCAATCTAGCGCTCTCGTCTGCCATCATCCAGTCCCACAGCCCATACAGTTCTGCAGGCACCAGTGCACCATGCAGGTATAGTCCCTTTTCTGCAGCTATCTACCAGTACCTCTCACCCCTACTGAACACCACTTCTTAACTCAGATTAGAACTTCCCTTGGTCAAGAAGGACCCAAATAACACCCTACAGGGCAGCTATGCATAACTGTATGAGCTCATAGCAGGGAATACAGACTTTCACTTCAAGGAAGCTTTGAACTCCTAGTCTCCAAAATGGAAAAGCCAATGTATTATTAGCCTTGTCAGCACCTAACCTAAATTGCAACTACAGTCTATACTCCAGACTAGCAACTTTTGTTATGCAGCTGATCATGCCACGGGAAAACTCCAGAAATAAACTTCGAGGTGTAGATGTTCAAAGCGAATCACCACATTTAGATATATGTGGAAAGATGAAGGAACTGCACCAGGAAAGGGCAACTTACACGAATTTTAATAACTCTAGTCTTCGCTCCACAATTCTTCTTGAGCAGCATCTTCTGAAAGAGAAGTAGAATCCAGGTATTAGTAGCAGTAGCACAAGGGAACAGAAAGCGGGAGGTTGTACAGAGTCTCTTTGCATCAACATTTAATTAGCAACCAAGATGGATAGATGGATGAATGGTTAAGTGAGATATGAAAGACTAAGAATTACCAGAGGTGGCCATCAAGTAATCAACCTAATCTGAGACTGTCTCGCCCAACCTGCACAGAGTCCTTTGGTAGTGGCTGATACACTGGGTTTCAAAAGAACGTACAATTCCACAGAGAAGGAAACAGAACAACTGCCTAAAAGGAAGTTTCTTCCTAATTTCTGTCAATTAGTGGTTAGACTTTGCCCTGAAGCAGATGAATTTATCTTCATGAAGAAAAAACACAGTCTATTTAATGTAAATGTGGATGTTCCCATTATTTAACAGTTATTTTCATTATGTTTATTTATTTAGAATTAAAAAACAAGGAAAAAGCACCTGCTCTCAGTCCTTAAGAGCCATTAAAGTTGTCATAACATATGAACCACACAACTTAGCAAACAGGATATACTCAAAACAGCAATTACTCTCTGTAACTACAGAAATAAACAGGTGAGCTGCAGCTCAATCCCAGTTCTGAGGCAGGGCTTTGAAAGTTGGCAAGTGAACAAAATCATTCTATCCTCTCAAAAAATTTCCAAAAAATGACTGGAAGTGGAAAAACAAGGCTTCAAGAGAGAACGGTTTTTCTGTAAGAAAGACTTCAACTACATTTTTCATAGTGGAAAACTTAGTGATGGAGGCATGTCAGAAAAACTTCTCCATGAGCTTTTGAAAGAAATAGTAACTTTTCCTAGCTCCTGTTTTCTACCCTTTTCCAGTTGGAAAGCTGTGTGAAGTGTGGGAAAACACCCCCCTACCACCACTTTAACAAAGCAACTGAAGTGTTTTTCAGATTAAGTTCTTAACACAGAAGACCTGTGGAAAAACATCCTACCATTTTATCAGTGTGAATGGTAAATAGTGAGACCTTTCTACTTCCTCTCTCCTTTTGTTCGTAGTCTTCCTACTTTTTCCAGAAGACTAGATAAAAGCAACACAGTAAAAAGAGCCTTGGAAACTCAAAAAACAAACAAACAAACAAACAAACAAACAAAAACACACAAAAAACCCACAAACAACCCCCAAAAAACAAAACAAAAGACAGTTCCCAGATGAAAGCATATATTATTTTTCTAGTAGAAAGTACTGCTGGGGGGTGGGGAGAGAAGTCCCATTCCTCCACCACCTTCTGTCATTCTACACCCCATGAGCACATCTTTGTGGTCCAAATCCACACAGCTGCCCAAAACTTGGGAGAGGGAATTGGAGACCCATCCATCTCTATACACACCAGCCTCTTGGATCTAAAATCCAGCCCTCAGCACACTCAAAGCCCGCTTACATGCCTGGAAAAGAGACAGGCACCGCAGCAAGTCCTGAAACTTGTACGTGCATAGTTCAGGGTTTGAGAAAAGTACATTACACCGTCCAAGCATCATGCATGGGGAGAAGGGAGTGCTTCAAGGATTTTGGGCTTTTTATCAGTCCTTTAGCAGGTGAATCCTAACGCTGTCTCTGTTATTCAAAGGGCTCAACAGCAGTCATGCCTGATGCCTCTGCCCCCAGGTCTGACCTGGTAACACAGGCTGCCCATACCACCAGGGTTTCTAACCTAGAAGGGCTTAACAGGTCTTTACACAAACCAGGTAGAAGGAGACAGAGGGAACTGCTGAACTGAACTAACTTGAGCCTGTGCTGTTCAACTAAGCAAATAATTCTCAGGGATTCCTATAAAATACTGCAGGGCTCTGTTCCCAGCCAAGCTGCAAGACAGTTATTGTAAGGCTGGTATTTACTGTGAGGTTAGTGCCTTTGTTAAGACCCCCTGCAACCATATAGTGAAAAAGACAAGAGAACTGAGAACTCGGTGGGCCTGACAAACCCCATGGGTGCAGGGAAAGGCAGTGAGGAGTTGTGAGGTCTTGAAAAGTTTTGGTCTCTCCATAAGCTTTTCTTCTAGAATGCTGTAAAATGTTGGCTGGTAGAGATGAGGAAGGGTAAACTAGATAGCTCAAATCACAAACCCACTGGTGGGATAAAATGTGTGAGACAAAGTAGGGTCAAGCAATGAAAGTAAGAATCAGCCCTCTGGATTTCGAACCCCATCCTTTAGGGGAAGAGCACTGTTACAGGAGGACATACCCTGCCACATCCGATTTGACTACAAGCTGCGTGACTCTGGGAGAGAGTACTTGACTGAACCCCCAAGGATGGAGGGAGGCTGTGACACCAAATTCCACAGTGCCTCAGCAGCACCATGGGATCCTCTGCTGGAAGGGGAAAAGTATCTTCAAACACAACTCTGTCCCAGGGAACAAATACAACACCTTCCAGTACAGTCCAGTGGGGTCCAGTGCCTAGCAAGGTCCCACCCACAGATCCCCCAATGACTCCATATGGGTACAAAAGACGTTGTTTCCCAACTACAAATTAGTAGAGACAGCAAGACCTTAAATTTACTCATCCTGGCCTTCTATTAAAATTCATAGAACTAGCCTGTGGGTAGATGGACAACCAGTCAGAATCTACCAAGAGGAATTCAAGTGCTCAGCTGTATCCTAAGCCCTATGCTTCTGGCAGAAGACAGAGGTGCTTTTTAAGCAATACTGTTGTGAGGAGCTTTTATCATGAGGACCTTACTACTATTTGCACTATCGTCTATGAGAGGTTGCATTGTGCAACAAGAGCAGGATGCCCTACATAATTTTTGTTAGTTAATAGTGATCTCTGGTGTGCTTCTTTATGGACTTAGTAGTACAATGAAAACATGACATCCCCTCATCCGCAGGCTGTAAAACTGGAGCATAAATCTCAGCAGAGGAAGCTCCTTGGAACTGCTGGATTCTTCTACTTTCATTTAGACTGGAAGTGGAGCAAGACTGTGCTGCACTCTTCCAGCTTCACTGAAGGGGTCCAAGATCATAAGAGACAAAACAGAGGGAGGGAGAAGGTGAGTGCAAGCCAGTCACATGATCCTGCAGCTGAGAATGAATAAATAGAAGACCGGTTATCAAATGTTATTCTATTTAATCAAATTGCTTCCACCTCACCTGAAGCCACACTCTGCACCCAGAACAGTAAAGCCATGCTTTACAAAAAGTCAGTCAAGCATCTTTATATGGTTTTCCATCCCTCATTTCTCCCTTTCCTTGCCAAACCTGAGTGCAGACTTTCAGACAGGGAAACTAAAAAGCAGTGCTGCCTAGCAACAGCCAAGGACTTTCCACGGCAGCCTCTCCTCATCCTCTCTCTGGAGACCCCCACGTCACAAGCCAGCCGTGAGATGCAGGAACTCATTAACTCCTATTTACATAGATACAAGGCAGAGCTGATATAACATTTGTTTGGCTACATGACTTGCAGTAGCCTAAAGCCAGGGGAAATTGCCTACAAGAAAGGTGACGTTCAGTTTACTAACCCCAGGATTATTCCTAACTATTAGGCCAATCTGAGAGTGCAGTTTTATTTCCCTGAGTTAAATTTTGGGGAGTTACGACAAGGAGAAGAGCAGAGATTTGCCAAAAGGTCATGGAAAATGTTAGTAGCAGAGCTGAGAATAAACTGTAGGGTTTGGTTTCTGAGACTCTTTCTTCCACCTGCAGAAAAGGAAATGGAAGAAAGAGAGGCAGAGTCTGTGCTCAGCCTCCCTATTTAAATTAAAAAGTCCCTCCTATTGGTGTCCAACATAACTGCTGGCAGAGCTGGAACCTACAGCTTAGAAGCACTATTATTTGCACAAAGGAAAGTTTATTTTACGTTCTGCTGTGGCTTCTACTGAAAAGGAGGAAATTACATGACTAAAGAAATGTGGAAAGTCTTTTTGAGGGCACAAATTATGACCCACTCCAAAAATACGGCTGAATTGGAACATTTTAGGGTTAAACTACCAGAAAACAGCAGAGTAATTTCAGTCTAAGAACCCTCCCACCAATTTCACCTCCTGTTATACAAATACTCTCTGCTTATAACCAGGTGACTCTGTCCTGGATTCAAAAGAAAGTTGCAGGGACTGGAAACAATCACTTCAAGGTTATTTATTTACTGAATGACATGTGGTGATGAACCCCTGAATTGGCACACGTGGCTTTGCTGCACATCAGTGCCACATCAAAATACCACACCGGGAATAGAGATGAACTACCTCCCTGGCTTCTCTCGGAGCACAGCTCTCTAGTCCAGCCTTGCTTCAGGAGACTTCAACTAAGCAGAGTTTTCCAAGTCCTCTAACACTGACTTGAGCCATTCTCAACTAACCTAGACAGTAAGCAGTGCATGCATGTATTCACTTATTCATGCAAGCTATTGTGTCCAGAACTATTGTATACAAACTGCATCATCCAGATGATTGTAATATATATTAACAAACAAAATATAGGTAATTCTTCATGCAAGGTCATTCTAGGAATAGTGAAATCCACAAGAAGGATGAATTTGTCACAGTACTGCAGTTCAAAAACAAATATTTAAAACTTTGGTAAAGAGAAGTTTAAAGGCAGATATCAAAGCTCAACTTTCAAATATTTAAGAGTTTGAACAATGTCTTAAAACAGTGTACAATGCAAAATATCAGCTTGCGTATTAGTAAACACCTTTCATCTTACATCTGCTTTTTATATGCACATTTCTATTTTTAGAATGTTTTCATTTTCACTACCTCCATAAGACAAAGCATCCGCTCTTTTGTCTACTGGTGGTGGTGGGGTTTTAACTATTATTATTTATTGAATTTTATTATCTGGTTGTAATTTTAAACCTAAGAGCCTGTCTGGAGTTAGATGCAGTTTAACCACTACCATTTTTTTCAAACCAGTTTAGTCTATTTCATGCAAGAGAACACAGGAACTCTCACTTCAACTTAACCCATCATTTAATTTGCAATAGATTAGCACACTTTATCAAATGCTACATACTGATACACAATCAGC